TCATTTGAGCTCTGAGCTCAGAGTTGTTTTTGCTTGCCATACCACACACTTCAACTCTCCCAATCACCCTCTTTCTTTCCATTTCTCTCTGTTGCTCGTCATGTTGCTGTTGTTGTTGCTGTTGTGTCGCTTTCTTGGCGGCTTGTGCGTTTCGTTTCTCATTTGAAAATATTTTCGCCCCGAACGAAAGAGGCTAATTAAGCCAAAGGAATTTCTCTGCAATTTCCAGCCAGCAGCACCAGCGACAGCAATTGAGTTTCGAAAACTTGTCGTCAGCTGAGCCGAGTTTAAGTTGCAACTTGCAAGAGCCAGAGCCAGGCAAGGGAAGAGCAGGAAGTGAACGCTCGGCTCCATGAGAACTCTCTTTTCCGCGGCGAAGCAATACGATCCCAAGACCGATCGCGGCGAGCTTCGATTTCGCCGCAAGCTGATGCCCGTTGGCCCCAATGTTTTTGTTTTTGCCACTTTGGGTTTGCTCGCTTTTCAAGGCAATCAGGTGCAATAGTTACTTGCTCGGCGAACGGTTCCGAGTGGTCGCCTTTGCTCCATAGCTCTCTGCTGGCTTCTCAAAGCTGCAAGCGGAAATGAATGGATCGGATCGGATCCGATCGTGTTGGATGGATTCGCGAGCGAACAAGTGCAGGAACAGTTCAAAACTACGAGCACTATGGGAAACCACATAGGCATGATGAAGCTTAAAAGATTACTAGGACACACAAGGTTATAAAATAGTTTTAGAAAAATTATATAATATTTATTCATTTTCTGTAGCATATAGAATATAATTTTTTTGTAGCATATAGTAAATGCTTATGGGTTGGAAATACCTAGAGAAATCCTTCTCTCAGTGAGCGTTAGTCTGGTGTTGTTTGGCTGTGATTATTGTTCCTTGCACTGGGGCCGCGAGTACTTCCTGCTCGAAGGCTTTCTTATCAGCACGTCCGCGCCACATGCTGCCAGAATGCGAATTGGTATCGGTCAGGGTCGTCAGCTGGGAGTCGCGGCAGGTCGTTTTACTACTCTGGACTTGGTGGTCCTGCTCCTTTCAGCGCCTGTTGACAGATTGTATAATTGGCGCTGAATTGATTCGATTACAGCACCCTGACTCGACTTGCTCTTATTTTGCTCTTACGCGGATGCGTTGCATGTGAGCTTCTCCTGTACTTGCATAAGTGTTAATTAGACAGCGAAGCCTCTAAAAGGAATCGCAATTAATTGCTGTCTAGACTCTAGAGCCTAAACAATATTATTTAACAATCTGCAGAAACCTAGAAACAACAGAGGGTTATTATAAATTAGAAAATTAACTACTAATGACGATTTAAATCGATTATAATGCGGAGCTATCGCCACTTTTTAACTTATCTCCTGCGATGATAAGCAGACCCAACGAAAGTAGTGCCATGGAGTGCCACTGTTTTTTCGATACAATATATAGAAAATGGGCAACAAAATAATTAGAGGCAGGATCCCCTCGCTCATGGAGTTAATGCCTTAAAAACATTCATAACTCAAACGCAACTCTGGCGAAGCGCCCACCTGTTTTTGCAACATGATCGCCATTGTTGCCGTGGCACTGTGATGCGGCTGCCTCTGGTGGCGCAACTATAGCGATGGGTGGTGGGAGTCCTGCTCCTGGCCCGGCCATTTATTCAGCATTCAAAACTCGTCTAAATCTAAACCGAAGCAACATGTGTGTTGTTTGCGAGTGAGTGAGTGCCGGCAAACGCGGCGGCTAGCTTTCAATGGGACACGTTCAAGGGGTGGTGGGTGCTAAAAAGGGGGTGGCTGAGTGCTTGAAGGCTGTCGGGGATGGCGACGCCTCTGGGCCAGCAACATATGTGTGAATAGCGAATGCTGGCAAAATATTTGCACGACGCAGCCTCGACAAAACGCACTCACACTCGGCCACACTCGCATATATTTAGAAAAGCTAACGGCAGGCGGAGCGCGTGTGGGCGGTTGCGCAACGCCGACGCTGCTGCCGGCGGCGACGCCAACGCAACACCGACACTGCTTGCATTGAACTCGGAAGTAGACGCAATAGAAATAGAGAATAAAACCAGTTGACGACGCGGGCAACATGCAACATCCACATCATAACATATTCAAATCGCTGCCAGCTCTGCCGGCGGCATTATAACCGAGCAGAGTAGAGGCTAAGGCCGCAGCAGCGCAGCATGCAGAGCTTTTACTCTCACGTGAAAAGCGATTTTTTATCGCCGCTGCCGCCGTTGTTTTGATTTATTTGCGTCTCTGCCTCGCGTCACGAATTAAACTAAACAACCGTAGTGGCACACAAACAGCGGAAAAGGAAACTGGGCTCTCGACAGTGAAACACACAAGAACGTAGGGACTCCAAACCCCTTACTGCTTTTGTGTGGCTTTATTCTGTTCCACATTTGCATTCCAATGGATCGGTGGAAGGATCGTACATACATGTTTTATGCTCATTGGGACTCCAAAAGTATGCTACGAATCATGTCAGAATTAAGGACACTGGAAATACTGTACATATTTGTTATATTGTTGTAACAATCTATTGATTGCTAGCAAAGCATTATAATTTTTTAATATTTGAATTCAGTAAATGTAATTTCTTTCCATTCCCTTCTTTTTTATCCCACCTACATTCATACAATTCATATGTATTTAAAATATCACCAAATTGTAAGGGATATTATTGGGGAATCATAAATAGTGAAAAATAGACAATGATCCTTATAGATGACCTCATAAGAAGCCAAACTTTTTAAAGAACAAGTTTTTAAAATCCCAAATTTCTCCAAAATTATTGTGGAACCATCAATATTAAAAAACTGCTAATGATCGTAAATAGAAGCAAATATAAAAACATTTGAGGATCGATAACAGCACCGACATGGGTACAGTCATCACACCCCCGCAAACATATTGCTGTCGTACGATGCCACATCGAATCGCCGTCGATAAGCAACCTCCTGGTATCGATAGTCCTCGACCAGTTGCATGTCCGTTGCCGTCATCAGCTGGAACGGAACTCGGACCACCTTTGTACCCCTTTCGATTGGGAATAAAAAATAAACCCCACATCTCGCTCGCCTTGTTCGCAAAGTGAAGTAATGACATCAGCGACTGAGAAGCAACCGAGGCGGCGGCAGAGGCAGAGGCAGCGGCAGAGACGGAGACGGAAGCAGCGAAGCAGGATACGGCAAATATGCGGCAGAAATTGGTCGGCTCGGCGAGTTTGGGGTTGGGGTGGGGGTTGGGATGTCGGGGAGATAAGCCCGGAGGTGGTGGCGGTGGCGATGGCGATGGCGGCTGGCTGTAAAGCAGAAAGGCAGCAAAAGCAAGAAAGACAAAAAAATACGAAAAAAAGCAAAATGTTTCAAGGCGAAATTCGCACAGCAATCTTGGCCCGCTGTCAGTCAGTCAGTTCGGCGCATAAAATAGCACAGAGCGCACACGAAGCGGGCTAAAAACAACAGCAACAGCCAGAGCAACGGCAACGGCAAGAGCCACAGTCCAAGCAGCAAAGCAAAAAGTACCTGGCAGATACAGATACGACTACGGGTACGGGTACGAGTCCGAACGAACCAGTACAAGTCAGCCAACATCTGAGATACAGATACGAGCGCACAGCGGCGCAGCGTAGCGCTCGAAACTGAAATAAACAAAAATGTTGAACAAAGCGACGTTGGTCGGAAGGGGGGGAGAAGATGGAGGGACGGACGAAGAGAGACAGCGTCGCCAGCAAAACAACAGCAATATACCCATGGCGGCGGATACTCGAGTTCAGTTTTAGTTTTCGCAGCGAGCGTTTCAGTCGCCTGGCTCAGTTTGCTTTGTCGCTGCCTTCGCCGCATACCTCACAGATACATTTGTATCCGCATCTGTGTGTGTGCGCATGTGGAAATGTACCTTTATATAAACGCAAAACGAACGACCCGATACGAAGCGAACGAAACGGAATCCCAAAAGCAAGACTGGCACACAGATACACACCGGTGCACTGGTATTGGTGTAGACTGTTAGTCAGCATTTGCGGTGCCCAGGGTTGCCACATGGCTGCAATCGATGACTCGGACGAGGGCATTACTTGGCGGGTTGGGAAAATAGTCGAACCTTATGACCCATGGGCCTCAATATTTAACATTAGGGAAATATTTAACTATTATTTTGGGTGAATAAAGGGGTTTGGATTATATTTTTGGGTTTACCTATAGGAGAATCACGACTGTGCTTTCCCTTGGTAGTTTCAAACTCTAAATATGGTTTTTTCAATCTTTTATTAAAGAAATAACTTACATTATTTAGAAAGATTTAGTTTTAATACGGCTGATTCTCTAATTTTATTTTTAAAGTTAAATATGTATGTCCATATTTATATACATATATGTATATGATTATATGTATAATATATCTTTGGCATTCGTGTTTGAAAGCGCAAACCTATTTTTTAAAGGTACTGCTATATAGACACTCTAATATAAAGTATCTAGCAAGATTTGATTCTTTTGAAAAACTGTTGACTTTCGAAAACGGCAGGTTTCTAATCGACTTTCAAATCGATCTGAGACCTCTGGCAACGCTCTGGACTTCTTGGTTGGTTGTATCTTTTGAATAGCACCGCTCCCACAGCGGCTAGGGCGCCTGGTTTGGTTTGGTTTGCACAACGAGCGTTTCGCTTCGTAGTTCGTATCTGGCAGTTCGTTATTTCGATGTTGGGTTGGCTGCCTGCTTTCCGTGGCTGGTTTTCAAAAACTCACTGCTGGCAAGGCTGCGAACTCAGGCAGTGCAGCTGGCAATGCCCCTGTTTTGTATCTCACTCTCTCTCGTTCTCCACCTAGGCCGCCACACTCTCTTCGTGCCCCGCTGCGGCCCAGAAACTCGTTCAGTTTCAATGCTTTTTACATAAGTGCGCGTTGAGGGAAAGAGAGAGCCACAGGCGGCCCTCTCGCTCGCACCCGTGCCATGTATCTGTATCTGAGCTCGTACAGGGGTGCATTTACTCGTTTGAGTATCTGTGAGTCTGCGAGTGTGTGTGCGGGCTGACTGGCTGGCTGACTAGCGCTTGGCAGCCTGCTGCCTGCTTCTTGAGCACCGAGCAGTTTATTTGTGATTTCAACACGGCGCAGCGAGGTCCACGTCGCTTTGTCGCTCCGTGCTCGCTGGCCAGATCCAATTCGAAAACGACGTAAACGCCAGCCGTAATCTAGCGCGCGTAATTCAAAGTTATCAACCCAGAGAGTTTCAACGCAAAGTGCATCAAGTGAAACAGCCAGTTTTAAATAGTATTCAACTACAAATTAGCAACAGAATAGATAAATATTAAGAGGTGAACAAAATATCCGAGGATCTCCAAAACATAAACAGAGTGACAAGAGTGACAGTGCCCAGTATGCCATCCCTTTGTGATTGTGATTCGGCCGCCTTGGGCCGCTCCTCCGCCTTTCGCCCGTCCCGTTGTCCCTTGGGACACCTGCTGGTCGCCCTCTGAGACCGCCCAGCATCAGCATCGCCGCCCACTCACTAACTGAACCAAGGAGCGCGGCGACAGAGAGACAGAGATCACAAGATCGCACATCCTGAAGATAGACTTCAACGCGAACATTTTTTTTCGTTCCGATCCATTTGGATACAAACGTTGTGAAACCTAGAACGGCCCAGCCGAAAATGTGCACTGAGGTGAGTCTTGACAAATATGGATCGGCTATGCGGAGGGAAGATTATATTTAAAAACACGGTGTTGATAGTACACTAGCTAGAAGGTGTTTTAAGCCGACTGCCTATTTCTAGACACAGTTTCACCCATAATGATAATTTAATTTCTCGAAAATAAATGAATGATTTACGTCCAAGGGCTATCATTCGACCCGCTAAGCTTCCAAGAATCCCAGCAATTAGGAAATACCTAATCTGAAAATCGACTTGAACTTGCGGTTCAGCTTCCAATTGATAAGGCACCAGCCTCCGCCTCCGCCTTCGCCTCCGCCAATTGGTGAATCACTCAGGTGGCATCCCCGCACCTGCAGCGCTTTGGTTGCGAAATGCGCGTAGCTTCAACATGTGGTTTGTGCCAGCTTATTGGCAATGCGTGGGTGGGCGCCTGAGTCGGTGGGTGGACCTTTCAATGGTGGCAGAGTGGTGGTGGCATGACATGCAAACTTAGGTGGAGGATAATGCGAACGGAACAGTGTTGGCTTGAGGGGTCGGGAAGGAACATAACGGAGGCAACAACAATAGAAGGTTCGGGCTGCTGCCATTCAGCAATGTAAACAATGCGAAAGTTGCACGTGCAACCAGTAGGCTAGCCAGTGCCCCTCTTAAAAACCCAACTTTATCCTAAGCACAGTGAGAAACTTGGCGACCTTTGTTTCTTAGTAGCGGGATAACTTAGCGGGAAGTTTATTATTGGAAAGAACGCTCCTTAAGTGGAGTTTATACTAACAAATAAATATTTTTAATGATTTAAATCTAACTTCTAATTTTTAATTAAAATTTCAGTATGCAGGTCCGACGTACACATTTTTTATTCAATAAGAGCTTAGATATTAATTGTATTGTATCTTTTAGATACAATACCGAGCTACTTGTTTCCTCAGTGCACCTTAGTTAGTTGTCCGTCTCCCTCGCACAATTGTGGCCACAGCAGGCATCATGCAGCGCCATCTATTGGCACACATTCGCGCAATATGCTAAATAGCCGCTGCCAGCGTCGGCATCTCAGCCGCGTCGCTGTCACCGGCTAAGCCGCTGCCTTCTGCTCGCAGCTTGCCGTCTAATGCAACGCAACAATTGGACAGTGGCAGGAGCAGCCGTTACAGCAGCAGACAGCTGACTTTTGGGGCCGTTTAATTAATTACATGCAAACGCTCTTTTTCGGCCGGCTCTCCCTCATGCTGACTCTCTTTGCCTCCGCCGACCGCCCCCTCTACACCACCCCTCCACTTCACTGTCCCCATCCAGCTCCCGCTCCATCCCTGCTCGGAAAACAGCAACAAAACTTTTTGGCGTCGCCGTCGGCGTTGGCGTCACGGCTCTGTTTACGTTTTCTCTTTCGTTGGCGGCAGCGAGCAGCTCGTATTAATTTCTTAGTTCTTCCGCCAGTGAAGTAAAGTTTACAATGCGTTTAGGTCATGGCGAACCCTCTCGGTTATTCAAGCCACAGATATGGCTAAGACTATAGAATTGATACTGAGTGGCTTAGACCAGAGTTTGAACCCCAACCGAATTATGATACTTTGGTCCTTCTGTCCCTTATAATACTAATATTTGAACTATTGTACTACAATATTGAATATCTTTTTACTTTTTAGTAATATTTATTGTCTGTAAATCAGGGTAAGCTATAACTGTAAGTTATAGAAGAAAATAACTTTGTTCACATTTTTATTAATATTTCATAGAAAACTTGATAAGCTGATCAGTTAGCAAAGAATTGCAAGCCACTTAGGAAATTTCTCATTTGACTTGATTTTTGATACGACGTGCAAGTATAATCCTTATACCTCTCTCTTTTGAGGTGATACATTCTCCCAATTGCAGTTCACGCCTTTCAATGGTTGTGTTTACCTTTTCTTTGTCAGAAAAGGGCATTTGAGATTCGTCCCAGCCTTGATTGAGAGCCGGCCTTATCTTTATTCCCTCCTTGTTCTGCTTTTTTAATTGTTCTTTATGGTTGTGCGCCTCTTTTGCTGCTGTTATTGTTTTTGTTCTTCTTCTTTGGGGTTTTGGGGTGTGGGGTGGGGTATGGTGCAAATTCCGGCACGAGACTTAATTCGCTTAATTGAGCAGGCAGCGAAGCCGGCAGAGGCTGAGACTGAGGCTGAGGCTGAGGCAGAGGCACCCGGCTGGCCGCGTGGCCTGGCAAATAATAGTTTGAAGTTGGCGCCGGACCGGCATGGCACGGATACATGGATTGGTGATTTCACTTTCAGATACATTAACACAAGTGCGCCGAGTGCGCGCGCCTTCAGCTTTTGAGTTATTGGTAGCTGCGACGCTGGCAGCGCAGCAACAGCACCAGCAGCCGCCTCCTTCTTTGGCTCTTCGATTTTATGAATGAAAATCGCGACTTGGTTGGTTTGGTTTTGGTTACGCTTTGGCTGCATCGTTATTTGCATGTGTGTGTGTGCGCGCCCCCTCGCAAGGATACGCACACATGGACTCATGTCTACTGTCTGGGGCTGCCATAAAATGCCTTCGGGGCATGGAAGACGGACTCCCTGGCGGAGCCCCGTGCCTGTGCCCCGGACCCGCGCATGTGCCCCATTAATGCCATTATCCTTGGATGCTGGCTCTCTTAATTTGCCTGGCATCTTAACTTGTTGCCGGCTCCTTGGGTCAAGTGCAGCACGAAAGCGCAGATTGCTCAATGAGGAATATATAATCAAATAAGAGAAGTTTGTTGTGAGCTTTTTGTTTGTTGTGGCTTGCGCTTGGCAGTCCTCTAAAGACGTAAACAAAGGAGCAGAGCAAGGCCTGCAGAGTGGGAGGAGCCCCACGTCGCATAAGCAATTTGGGTTCCAGTCACGACTTTTGTCCCGCGTCGGATGTCAGGTGAAACAGAAAGGAGTCCAACTTGGCGAATGGCGCTAACGGTGGTCCTTATACCTGAATGGAATGAATGGAAGAATGTATTGCAGTTCGGAATGACTTGGCTTAGCCAAAATCTCTGCGCTTCTATTGTCATAATCAAAATATCGGAATTCAGACGGTGGGTACGTAGTAAGCTATTTTGTCAGTGGTTTTACGAGTGCAATTTTGAAATCACGATAATGGCTGGGGACTACCCATCAATTACCATTCGAGGTGTTGACTTAGCCCCATAAACACCGGCCACTGTTAATGACTTTCGATGGCCGAGGGCTAAGTTCAAAGCCACAGATAAGAACTATCGTAGGCAGAATGGGTTCAACAAACCTGAAGGTGGCTAGTTTAGGGCCCGGACGGGGGATCGCTTATCGATGATGACATTGCAAGAGTTGGCCAGCAGCTGCTCAGCCTGGCAGTAGTTCCGGGGACCCGAGTCCCCCGATGACCGATTGAGAGATTTGCTCACGGCTTATATGGTGCGGACTTGGCACTGCGACGCGGTCTTAACTTGGCCTATAATGTATGCCCACACATGCTCGCATGCTAGACTAAGTATGTGTGCATCGCATAAAGACAGCTGGCGAGTTGTGGCACGAAATCTTATCAATGAATGCGCATCACTTGCACTTGTTTGTACCACCTTCGGGGGGAATTCGGGGAATTACCGGCTGGCTACGACGTAAATGGCTCCACGATGACGATGGCGATGGCGATGGCGATGCGGTGATGACGTGACTCACAGACGCTCCAGAGCAGCCACTACCACTACACATCAACACAGATGCAGTTGCTCACGCACACCATTAGCATTATTAAATCGCCAGCCGCAAATTTGCGGTTGCGTCACCTACTTAACACGCGGACCCTGGCCAGCTAGCCGGCGAGGATGAGGTGGGTGGACGGTGGGCAGCGAGTGGTGATCGGGGGCCCGTCTGCGAAGCAGCATCCCTCGGTTGCTTAAGGACAACGACGCACCGAGGCCAGCGACGAGAGCGCTAGCAAAAATTTCCATTAAGCCAAATTAAAGTTATCGTGAGCCAGGCTGGCAAGCAGCCCTCTCAGAACCCCACAGTTCAGACCAATTCACCACCCATTCAGGGGCACTGGAAGAATTGGTATAGGCTATATATATAAAATATATTTAATACAGTTTTTGATAAACAAATTAACAAAAATAGGTACTCAAAAAAGAGACTTTCTATGATTAGTTTCAGCTTTCTTTTGAAAATGTCACAAATGCAACATTGTAAGGTTTTAAAGACTTTTTTTCTCTGTGCACTGTTTTCATCCTTCCCCTTCCGCTCCTAGCTTCCATTTTCATTTCTCTCGTTGCTGTTTCTCTCTGACAGGCGCCCAACCACCCACCCAACAACAAAAAGTGGCAGGCCAGGAGGTGGAGTGGCAGCAAGCATGCTTTCTCGCTCTCGCCTGCTCACTCTGTTACTCGGCCCACGTAGTGGTGTACGTGCAATTGGAAAAGTGGTTTTCGTACTAGTGGATGGCCCAAAACCACCACCACCACCACCGGCCCACCACCTCCCCCTCTCATCTAACCAGCAATCCACCAGGCCACCCATCCCAACCGCCCATCCACCCGTAGCCCAGCGTATTCCTCGTCCTGTTTGGTAGGCTTTATTATGTCAGGACCTGAGGGGGTGCTGCGGGGCGGGATTGGGTAGTGGGTGGTGGGTGGCATAGCATTTCACCCAATTTCATTATATTTGCCAACGTTTTTAGCTTTTATACGTCACACGGCATATCTCACCACACCCACAGCACGAGGAATATCCAGAGTGGGTGGGTGGGTGTATGGTTTATAACACAGGGAGAAGGGCGAAGTGGGGAGGTGGGTCGTTCGGTAGAGAAAAGCCGGCTCGACTTTAGTGCGCAGGGTCGCCAATACGACTCGACGAGGGGAGCGGAGGGCTGATGGGCCGGGAGGGCATGTAGGATGTAGTTGGGTGGCTGGGTGGCCTGGTATATGGCTGGGTGGGTGGTTTTCGGCTGCCAGTGCTGCCAACCCATTATTATAAAGAATATAATATTATAATAATGTCAGGCATAAAGTGCCAAAGAGAGACAGCAAAACA